GAGACTTGGCCAAGTTTTAGCATTTGCAAGAGACTTGACCAAGTTTTTGCCTTTGCGAGAGACTTAACCAAGTTTTAGCATTTGCGAGAGACTTGACCAAGTTTTGTCTTGACATCTCGAATCTTTCTTATCTACGTGCAAGAGATTGGCCAAGTTTTAACATTTGCAAGAGACTTGGGGCTTCGTGTTTTTTGCGTCGGTAACCAGTGTTTTTGCTACGGTGACTAGGTTCAGTGTTTTTCGCGTCGGATTGGAACCGGTGTTTTTTGCGTCGGTTCGGGGGTGTTTTTTGCAACTGTCCCAGGTGTTTTTTGCGCCGGCCACCGGTGTTTCTTGCGACGGTGGTGTTTTCTGCGATGGTAACCGGTGTTTTCTGCGAAGGTAACCAGTGTATTTTGCTACGGTTAGAGGGGGGGCTACTACGAGGACGACGACGACGACGGCGACGACGACGACTACTACTACAACTACCATTACTAGCACTAATACTACTATTATTACTATTACTACTACTACTACTACTACTACTACTACTACTACTACTACTACTACTCCACGACAACAACAACATACATACACACACATATTTGCATCCATACATAGATACATACAAAAAACACAAACATACATGCCGACATGCATACAGACTTACAGACATACACACATACATACAAACATACATACAGACACACATAGACACACACATACATACCTAGATACATACATACGGTCGGGCCACTGTGGCCGATTCAGCTCTCTATCTACACACGATACAGACACACATACAAACATAGAGCCATAGATACAAACACACATAGACACGCACATACATACATACATACATACATACATACATACATACATTCATCCTTGGAGACGCAGCAAGATCAGGCGAAGGCACCTAGATACAACATGATACGAGCTCGGCCACGCTTCTTCCAGCTTGTTTTCCGCCCCTGCACCCCCTCCCGGTTTTTTATGTCATATCATGCATGTATGTGGCCCACAGACATACACACACACACA